ACAGTTTTTAAGGCTAAAGTCACCTGAACGAAATTTGCTGAACCATCATTGACACTTACGAACGTTCAAAACATTTCCATAAACTTCTTTGTGGCTAAAGAGGCGTTGTTTCCTTTCTTGTATTCAAACAGCATAACATGCCGAATGTGTGTCTCGTCGTGTGCCATCACCATAAGGGATTAGAGTATACTAAACTTTACATATTATATAGGCTACACGAACGTGACGTTTAGGCGCTTCGTTTAACTATTATACGTGATGTACTTGTTTTGTTGGGGGATGGTTAATGAAAGTGTTCCAAAACGCGATATTAATTTCTTGACGACCTAATAGAAGTTACATATTACCAGCTTGTTACGTGATCAGATATGTCGATGTTAATATTTTTTTCAGTTGTCTGTGTACGTTTTGATTATTATGTTATTTGTATAAAACAGGTATATTATGTACACACAGTAGAGAGTGCAGTGTACAAAGTAATGATACTTAATGAGATAATGATTTTAAGTGGGAACTTCCGTCCTTAGAAAGGATTGGCTGTTTTTTTCGGACTGTTTGCATCGTGTCTGGTCACTAGTGTTAGAAGTTATCATATAAACAAGTGTTATTGCTACAAGGCAATATTCGTCTGATTAGCATCGCCATCTACCGGCAGCGAAAGAAGTCGGCTTGTTTTATGTGAAATGCTGTGCTTAATTAATGACTTTTTGTAATATTTTGAGGAAAAAGTTTCGGAATGAATAAATACAAGAAAGAGTACGGATTACGTCATAAGAGAAAGGGGAATAGTTCTAATTAGGCCTATATCGGCATACGTCAATATAATCTCATGTAGGTGAACAGGAAATACCTATTGTCCCCTGTTGCATATATCTGGTTCTGTAGAACACGATCACATTTCCGAATATTTAGCAGGATGTAGTTTTGAAACAGAAGATAACCAGAGTAAGAAAGTTTACGAGCTGCTACGAATTTCATAAGTTTCTCATTATTTGATAATTTTGAAGTGGGGGTTTGTATGTGTGTTTATTAGGCTATCTTCGAGTTCTTTTACAAATCACTGACAGTAGTTAAATATTAACTGTAGAAGACTAACGAGGTTTTGTATGTAGCGGGTTTCCAAGTTTGAGTATGCGATTTAAATCGTAATAAAACGATGCAACGTAAATTATTTTATTGTTACTAATTTATCGTATCGTCAGGGTTACGTAAAATAAAGACAAAATACAAGCTGCGAAATAATAAAAAAAAAGATTTAAGCACACAACTTGTAAACGTGCGAGTATATGAATGTGTTAACTCTTGTGTTTACATCATATTGTAAATACTGTTGACCTCATTCTCTTGTAAACTAGCTTCATCATTCTCTTTGACTGACGAGAAAATATTTTTATTATTTTTAACTTTACAGCTTTATTTACACACACAATAATTCCACGAGATGGCGCTTACAATCTTTCGTGATCCAAACTTTTGTTAATGTTTTGTTATTAACATTTATTCGTCGTAACTTCACGTAAACTACCGTATTTTTCGGAATATAAGACGCACCCTTATTTTGAAGACAAAGTTTTTTGGGGGAAAAAAAGCTACAGTCGCGTTTGAAAGATTTTTATTGAACAAAAATTCAATTTGATACTTTAACAATTAGTATATATTGTTCTAAACACAAAAGAGCTCAAAACATCAAAATAAGAAAATACCGTAAATCAAAAAAAAGGTTTACTGCTATTTAGTTTGGTTCAAAACCTACAAAATCTTCTTTGCTTTCACTGTAATTTATTTTTTTATTATTTAGTGAGCATTATAAATAGTTATGTTTTTAAAAGGAAAAAACTACTATTGTTATAAATAACACATTCAATTGAACTAAACTATGCATGCCTATTTAAATATATTTACACATAGCTTGTGTATATCGTATATATACATATATATTATTCATACCTTCGGTGTATAGGACGCAAGCAGATTTTGACATAAAATTTTGGAGTAAAAAAGTGCGTCTTATACACCGAAAAATACGGAAATATTTTATAAACGCATAAAAATACTCAAACGATCAACGTTGTATAGTACACAATTGAAATCTTTATATAAATATCCATCAACGGTAATAAAAAATTATGTTTCCTGGGAATGACGTGAACGGACATCGAAACACGTAGTGTAGTGTCTTTTACGACTGTTGGTCGGTATTTAAAAAAATATTTCAATTGTGTATTATACAACGTTGATCGTTTGAGTATTTTAAATATTTACACAAGTTCCTTGAGTTTGAATCTGTTAATATTATTTTAGAAACATCTAATCACAAGCTGAAAATACCGACCGTTATTTCAAACCTTGCTGAACGAGTTAAGTTACGTCATCAAAACACACCAATATTACACACCAGAATAATTAGAACTATAATTGTCATAAGACATCATTATAAGTCCTATTACATTTTTAAACATTAAATTATTAATCTAGTCTTTTAGGGATTTTCCAAAATTAAAAGAGTGTATAATAATATTATTCCAACTACGCTACATTTGCCATATCCACTGCCGACGACGCGTTTAGCTCAATCCAGAGCTCTTCAGGCCGTCTGGGCTACAAAAGATACATCAGTAGTACGAACACTATTTGTTTAAGCTATTTGTCATACAACAACGTCTAAAATTTCTTTATTGTCAGATATACAGAGTATAATATATAGGGTTACAACGTTTCATCAGGTTAACGTGGCATCATCAGGTACAATAAACAAGTTTTAAGTCTTACATAAGAGGGTACTCCCATTAATTGTTCTGATACAACAACAATTGTTAAGTTGTGTACGTTTTTTACAAGCTGGCGAGGAATGACTACAGTTCTACTTGTCATAAGATACTGGGTATTAGGCCTATTACTAATGTACAAAATGATGATATTGTTGTCAATTCTAAAATTTACTGATATGTGAATTTTTATATTTTCAGGAGACAGTAGTGGTCAGTTTCTCCCGCAGCCCTGGTGTACACTGGCCTACTGGGAGCTTCGTTGCAGAGCCGGCCGCCTCTTCCCCGTCCACAAGAATGGCATCAACGTGTTTTATGATTTGCCACAAGGTAATGGCTTGTGTCTGAGAACCCTCACCGGGGGAACAACTAGAGAGAGTGTTATTCGAAGCAGACAGAATATCGGACTAGGAATCACCCTCTGGAGGGAAGGAGAAGGCGTGTGGATGTATAACCGGTCCCAGTATCCTGTCTTTGTTAACTCACCCACTCTCGATCTACCCAACACTAGGCCACTAACTGTTTTCAAAGTCTTACCAGGTTATTCTGTTAAAGTCTTTGATTTTGAAAAGTCAAAGTACTATCAGATTGTGGAGAATGCCAAACTTCCAGATGGGCCTTTTGACCACAATGCTGTCCGCATAAGCTTTGCCAAGGGTTGGGGCCCCAATTATTCTCGCCAGTGTGTTACAGCGTGTCCTTGTTGGCTAGAAGTCATGTTTACAGTGGCCAGGTGACCGTACTAGTCTACTCCTGCAGTGCCACCTGCTGGATGTTCATGACATATGTAGTTCCATAGGTTTTTCCATCTTAATCTAAAAGAAAAAAATCAACTGTCTAATGTAACTTTTGTCTCTGCTGTTTTAACTACAAAATCAAAGTACAAATTTCTGAAAGCAAGCAGTTTTCAAATGTTACCATCTGGTGAGATGAAAGTGGCTCCATCTGTCCATCAATGAGATTATTTTCAGTTGTTTTTTGTTAAATATATAATATGTGTAGGTATGGATGAGTGTGTGTATTTGTATGGCTGAATAATTCACAGCTTCATATTTTGAAAGTTATATGTTAAAGTATTATGTGCAATAATTTAAGGAAATATTGTTGTGTTTGCCAGTAAAGTATACAGCCAGCACACCTTGGTCCAGAAAAGGTTTATGTAAACATATAACATTGAAAGAAATATTGTTGTGTTTGCCAGTAAAGTATACAGCCAGCACACCTTGGTCCAGAAAAGGCTTATGTAAACATATAACATTGAAGGAAATATTGTTGTGTTTGCCAGTAAAGTATACAGCCAGCACACCTTGGTCCAGAAAAGGTTTATGTAAACATATAACATTGAAGGAAATATTGTTGTGTTTGCCAGTAAAGTATACAGCCAGCACACCTTGATCCAGAAAAGGTTATGTAAACATATAACATTGAAGGAAATATTGTTGTGTTTGCCATAAAGTATACAGCCAGCACACCTAGGTCCAGAAAAGGTTTCTGGAAACATATAAAAGGTACTTTTAAAGTTTTTTTTTTGTCATGTTGTATAAATTTGCTACAATTAACTGAGTAAGCTTACTTGAATGTAAGTTTTAGACACTAGGTTTCTAGAACGAACCATACTAACAGTCCTTTAGTCTTGCCAGTTCTTTGTCACTAGAACGAACCATATTAACAGACTCCGTAGTCCAGCTTTATCCAATAGGATTTTGCTGCTTGCCTAGTTTGTTGTGATCAAGTGGCCATATTCATCACATGATACAAAATAGGTTTGAAGTTTCAAACTGTCAGAAATCAAGACTGATACACAACAAAATACAGTAATGTAAGGTGTGAAGTTTAAACTGTCAGAAATCAAGACTGATACACAACAAAATACAGTAATGTAAGGTGTGAAGTTTAAACTGTCAGAAATCAAGACTGATACACAACAAAATACAGTAATGTAAGGTGTGAGCCTTTAAACTGTCAGAAATCAAGACTGATACACAACAAAATACAGTAATGTAAAAAAAAAAATTTAAATTTCAAATAATAATGTGAGAATAGAAGCAAAAATCTAACAAACGAAGAGTATGAATTCATTATATGTGATAAGTGGCGAACATCTTGGACAACACTGCCTTAATCCCATCATACTTTTTATCAGTATTTAGAACTAGAAAATGAATTTATTTCATCGTATGCTAGCTTTCTCTTTCTAGTATCAGATTTTCTTTTCCTGAAGCATCAAAAAAAGATTTTTGTGACTCTATAATGTAAGATACTAAATTTTATTCAGTGAAAAGAAAAAAATTAGGAACAAGCCAAATTTGATGGTGAGGTGCTCATTTTTGTTACTGCACTCAGGTGCACATATTTTCTTGTGGTTTCTGACAAGTGACGACCAATCTTGTTTAGCATGCTGTGCTGTAGAAGTGCCTTTAAAATTTGGTTTAGGATCTCTCCATCATCTGACAGTATGGGCACAAATCGTGACAGTTTTGTAGATCTGAATAATAGTAAATGTTTCATTCTTGTTTTCTGCAGTATGCATATACAACATTTCTTATAAGAAGCCTATCTGTATTTGTTTGGTTTGCTGACCCGAGCTGTACTGATGAGCCTTGAATAAGCAAAACTGCAGTCCACAGCAGAAGGTGCAGTGAATCAAAGAATGCATTAAGCCTCTACATCACATATTCTATTTTAATTTTTGGTGAAAACAAAATAAATCTGTAATAAAATAATTAAACAGTTGGTCTCCTGTATAATATTGAATAATAAATTAGGCACGGTGCCATGATATTATTCACACACCTAAATTGATTTAGGTTCATATGGTGAGTTATAAAAGGAATAAAAAAACACCATAAATGTTTCTTATATTAGAAAGTTGAAAGCTTACACTCGTAGTTATAAAGCTGGACCTTGTACAAAGTAACTTTATTGTAAGAGAATTTGCAGTCAGCAGCTGACTTTTTGAGATGTATGTTTCTGTGGATGGAACTCGTTAATATTTTTTTTTACCATCCAAAATGTATATTATCTACGTTACGAATCATAAAACTTCTAGCATGATGACTGGTGGCAAAATTAAGAATTAATTCTAAGAAAATTAAATGTTGAGAATTAAAAACTGACCGTATTTTAGAAATTGTGTAAAGATATAATACGAACAGTTTGAAACAGAACAGAATTAATTTTGATTCGATCTTCAGGTATCTGAGGGTTTGTGTGTCAGAAGCTAAATGGGTATTTCTAGCTCATGACTGCAGGTTTTACAAACATATTCTGTAATGTATGATAAGATGTTGGGAACAGCTGAATTTGGTTTCAAGGTTTTGATTTGAAATGTGAGCTGATTGTGGGGCAATTACTCATCTTTTGACCCAAATTATAACACCCAGAAGCTGTTATAATCTTCATGGGCATCGTATCATAACCTTTACAAGTATCAGTTTTTCTTGTAATCACTTAGTTTATAATATTCCAAAGATCACACAACATTTACATAATGATGAACAATAATAGTTTCACAGATTCAATTCCATCTAAATAATGCAGTCTGAAAAGAAGACAATAATGTTGGTTGTTAATATTTTTAACCCTGGTTTGTTTTTAAATCAGTATTATCTGTCATCAGGGATTTTTTCTCGGTAATCTGAACATTTTGTAAAGACTTGGTCATTCCTTTTCATTTGATGTATCATTTCTTTAATACTCTTTTATAACAACTTTTCTAAAAGTTAATATTTCACTTTTTTTAACCAATCACAGACAAAATTCTAGTGTTTTTATTTATGTACTCTCGATATATAATCTAAAAAACGTCCAATTTTTTTAGCTTTTTTGAGCATTTTAGTGGACAGTAAAACATAAAATATTAGTAAATGAATTTATTTATAAACATTTTCTCGTTATGATTCAATAATTGAAGATTTAAAAATAGAAACTGAAATAATTTAATACATAAGTGTCTGAGGATCAAAAGCTTCATTAAAACATGCCTGGTGTCTCTGAATTCCTCATGTTTCGCATGCCTGGTGTCTCTGAATTCCTCATGTTTCACATGCCTGGTGTTTCTAAATTCCTCATGTTTCACATGCCTGGTGTTTCTAAATTCCTCATGTTTCACAAGCCTGGTGTTTCCGAATTCCTAGTGTCTGTGAATTCCTCATGTTTCGCAAGCCTGGTGTTTCCGAATTCCTCATGTTTCAGAAAGTGTCTGACAGCATTTTTTAAATACACTCTTCCTGATGTTCATGTTGTGTATGTTAATATTCAAAGAGCTTACATCAAAGTGGTAAAATTGTAAATGAAAAGTTATAAAGAGCTTAAATGTACTGACAAGACATGATGGATATAGAAAAGGTTTACGAGTCTAAATTGTTTTACCGAGTACTGCAAATGAAAATCAATTTTTCATAAAACTTGCCTCTCCACTTTGTTCTTCTCAAGTTATTGGTTTCAAGATATGATTTTAAATTGTAAATCTTTTTTTAACAAAGCTTTTACAAAATACGGAAAAGCACACTGAGAAGAAATTAATTTATATATTTAAAGAAATTTATTTTAGAAATGAGTTTTTTAACTTGTGTAAAAAAAAATAAAATCTAACTGCTTTCTTTGTTAGACTTCTAAGCATATCTAACAGTAAGATATCTTGTATGTGGTGTTGTTCATCTATATAAAACCTGATGCCATTATACCATTTACTATGAAAATGTTTGTTTAGATTAAGGAGTCCTAAAGCACGTGTTATAGTGAGATATCTTGGCAGCCACGTTGCTCAAAGCTCTGGCCTGTAGTTTGACTCCCATGTGTAGTATTTGTAAAAATTGTAAATAACAAGACTTTTATTATGCCAGTATCGCTTTACCTTGTTCTCTCGACAATGTACAGAATAAACAGGTAAAGTTAAGCTGGTATTGTACAAATTTGGGGTGATATAATTTACCCTACTTAAAAATAAAAAAAATTATATTAAGAACCAGCAGCATCTTGTCTTTTTTATTATTCTAACAATACGGTGTTTTTACAGGAAACTACAGCATATCACTGTCTCATGTCATAACAATGTAGTGTTTTTACAGGAAACTACAGCATATCACTGTCTCATGTCATAACAATGTAGTGTTTTTACAGGAAACTACAGCATATCACTGTCTCATGTCATAACAATGTAGTGTTTTTACAGGAAACTACAGCATATCACTGTCACATGTCATAACAATGTAGTGTTTTTACAGGAAACTACA